GATTTTATATAAAAAACAAAAGCATATTCATCGGCAGCCCTACACACGAGTAAATTCGTTAAGCGCTGCCAAAGTCTTATAAAGCGAGGTTCACTAAAATTAGTAACTATACGGGTAATCATCCTGTTGTTTATATACTCGTACATTTGTCTCGTGAGTTGATATTCGCGGAGCAGCGTCATTTAATTATTATTTTCGAGTTACGCCAACAAAGCTGGTTTTGTTTTGATCGCAGTAACGAGTTGTTTCCATTGTTATCGAGCGGAAACTCGGTCAGTGGTTTACTTTGCAGGATTATAGCCGATGTGTAGGATATACTGTATGGAGAATGAACAACTTCTGAACACAACTTGAATCTTCTATTAATACTCGAGTATCACAAGCGTCTATATTATAGGATATAGTGGCCTCTTACCACCTGCTGGGCCAAATTATGCTGTTACGCCACCCTTTGAACAAGTAGTAACCCATTCTTATCTTCGCTTCGCTTCTGTGTAGACTACTTTTCTTTTCATAGATTCCTTGTTTTTTTTTATATATATATTTATCAAGCATTTTCGTAAAAAGAAAATTCTAAAAGGCTTCCATTTTTCACGTAAAACTTCAAAGTGATGGTGAATATAGCATTAGAATCTATTTTGTGATTTAAGAAGAGTTAGCTGATACGCAAAACGACGCAGATAATGACTTAGTCCGCGTTTTTGTATTTTTAGGTGACATTGACTTTAATATATCAAACAACGCGGCCTTAGTGGGGATTGTATATCTAAAAATGATATGTAATAAAAAAAACTGCGAATCAATATTAAATTAATGATTTAACCAATCAAATCATTGTTTTTGGGAAGCTCGCTAAACTGATAGGTAGTGTGTCACAACTAATATTACGTCCGAATAAATATAAAATAGGCAGTGAATTATTTAATTACATCGTAGTTGGGATCGTGATCGCATTGTCTATTGATAATTATCTCCCGATTTATGGGGTGAATTAATGTGTTGATGAGGCAATAATTAATGAAAATGGCGCCATTGTTAATATCACCCTCTAACTGATATTAAAATTGCAAAGAAACTACACACATCTTGATATGAGTTTTTATTTTCTTTTTTTTGATACCTTTACCATACCATAAGTCACTTTATTTATAATAAATTACTTTTGATAGAAATCACCGCATGTAACAGACCTAATAATTACATCGCAAAGCTCTTTTGAACCAGATGTTCGGAGTGAAAGCGTGTCTGGTAAATGAAGTATGAAAGAGATGAAAAGGAACTTCAGCGATAAATAAGTAATTAGATTTAATGAAAAATGGCAATGAAATTCTTTCGAGTAATTCCTTAGGGTGAAATCTTTTTCGATGTACCTACCTATGGGCAGAATAACTAGAGCTCCTTTGCTTGATGAAAAACAAAAGGCGAACAAAATGGCGGCGGCGCGCGTACAGTAGACATTATTGTTCCCGCCATAATAATTAAAACGTGCAAATTGTACGCTTTGTATTCGAATTGTATCACGTATTGTGTTGAGTTTAAATTGTACAATGCTTGGGACTAACGATCGTAGAGTTAATTATATTATTATGATTTTAAACAAAGATGGTCTCGGTTTGTTATGTTGATTGTGGAAAGGAAATCGCTATCGAGTTAAATGGCATGAGAATTTGCATATGCTATAATAGTTCTACCATACAAGTGTATTGGCTGAAAGCGGACTTTTTATTTATTATTCAACGTACCTACAATATACATTACTACTCTAACTTTTGCCCGTGGCTTCGCTCGCGTTAATGTTGAATTTGTAAACATATTCTGATTGTATCTAAGGTATAATACTTGAAAAAAGAAAAACATACGACGGGTCGCACTCCGGGAGTGCCAGCAGAAGTGAAAACTTAAATATTAACGTTGTGAATTTTTGATGTTTTGCAATGGTTAGGGAATAATTTTGCACAAATTGCTTTAATTATCAGTATAAAAGTACTATCATGTATGTGGCAGAATACAACATTTATTTATTCCGCTATCGTACACAAACATGACAATTTATATTACATTAAAAAAGTTTATCTCTCAGAAAAATCAACTTACATGAATCACATTTAAGCGCACTTAGCGACATCTATTGTAAAGAAATCAACTTACATGAATCACATTTAAGCGCACCATGCGACATCACGCCACGACAAGTGAAAAAAAATGCATTTTCTTCGCAATACAGCTGCCACGTGGACGTCCTAGATAGAGACTTATTATTATATCCAGTATATTGAAAGTCAACAAACTTTCCAATTTTATTGTGTGTCATGATGCGATCAGCCCACGTGTTTGAACCAACCTGAAGCGAGTTAAACATTTTTTATCCACAAAAAAAGTGTACAACGCCGCTAAAGAAGTTTTCACTTCAATATTTGGTTCTGTAATGTTCTGCCTCGCCCGGAACTAAAGATTCCTTACCTATTCAACATCTGTTATTAACTTTTCATGTCCTAAAGTAGAGCATTCTTTAAAGATGCTGTTATGTATCACGTTGCATACCTTCTTATTAAGTGGTTCATATACATTGCGCATAATATAACTGTACTAGCAAACCAGTGAACCAAATGTTCACCAAAACCTGATTTCTCGAAAACCGGAAGTGCTACGTTACTCAAATCCGGTTTGTAGTCTTATCAGACTATTCTTAACTTATAACTTAAATATTCTCTTTATCTATCTCTTACGATTTGGCCGCTGAAACAGCACCACAGACAGACGGACGGACTTGTCTAATAGTTAAGAGATATAATAACACTAAATCTCAAGAAAATTAATATTGACATTGCTGGCAATTTCTTTCATACAAAATGTGTAGATATCTGGATATCTACATATTTTGTCGTGAGGCACGCTAGAGCGACGCGTCTTGCGTCTACGATGAGCGGAAAAAACAATACTTCTGTTCAAGCCAAAATGACTTTTAAAATCCGAGAGCTTAGGTGCAAAAGAATTAAATGAAACTAAGGTGAATTTTGTTTGACTATAGATTCCTTTATTAGTTTGGTGACGTTTTGCCTATATGTAGCTCCAAACAAATTTGCAAGCGTGATGCAAAGAACTACAGCGCCATCTATTTCGACACATATGAACTAGATTTTTTACATGCACAAATGGCGTATACAACTTCGATACGGTTCGGGAGATGTCACCACAAAATAGACATCTGTACCCCTAGCACGAACCATTATCGAATTCGAATAGTTTGCAAACCGAAATGTCAATGTCAAATTTTGTATAGAAACTTCAACAGCATCGCCACAACGGACGTAACGAGAACTAAAATCAGTAAACATTTGACAATGATATTTCGGATTTGCACACTATTCGAATTCGATAATGGTTCGTGCTAGGGGTAGTGTACCCATAACTAACGCGAACCAATATCGAATTCGTTAGTGTAGTTATAGTGCGAAATGTCACTGTGTTCGATAGCTTAATGTCTTCTATTGTGAATTTCTCAATAAAAATCGGATATTCAGATTGTAGAATATTATTCTTAGTAAAATACAGATCTTATTAAAAATTATGTGCGTACGTTGTCTTTTTTGAATTCGAATTGCAAGAGGGAGAGTGAATCTATATAAATCAAAATGAGTGAATGTAGTAACGAATGGGTACGAAATGAATGTATGAATGGACGATGACGATGGACCGATTGCAGTTTCTCTCTTCGAAGGATAGATGGCGTTAACACACTGTCAAATTTTGTATGGGAACTTCAACAGCAGCGCCGGACGTAACGAGAACTAAAGATCAGTACACATTTGACAATGACATTTCGGATTTGCAAACTATTCGAATTTGATAATGGTTCTTGCTAGGGTTACTGTACCCATAACGCGAACCAATATCGAATTCGTTACTTTTGCTAGTGTTTTTTTTTTATTTAAAGATGTTTCCGACAAATGACTCCACCCCACCTGATGTTAAGTGGAGGTGAAGTCCAGACGCGAAGATAGCTGATACAGCAGTTCTACCTGCCACACCAGCCATCCTCCCTCCTCCCTCATCCAGCCTCCTTTAAAGGATCCCAGGTTGTAAGAGGGAGTAACACGTGAGCGGGCAGAGCATTCCATTTACGGATAGTACGACAAAGAAATGAGTCACCAAATTTCTTTGTACGCGTTGGAATTGTAGCCACAGTTAGACGGTGACAACGTAGGCCAGCGCGCGTGGTCCTCTGAAGGAAAGGGGAAGGTGGAATAAGAGAGAATAACTCCTCAGAACACTAAATGTCACTGTCAAATTTTGTATGGAAACTTAAACAGCAGCGCCGCCACAGACGTTACGAGAATTAAATAGCAGTACATATTTGACGTGTGTCTAGATCTAATTCAACTATTCAAATTCGATAATGGTTCGTGTTAAAGATACTGCCAGACTGCCACGTCCGTCCGGCGTCCGCGTCAGGCGTCCGTGGCCAAGCAGCTAGATAGTACGAGTTCGCTCGTTCGTCCTTATTCAAATCATGTTGATTTTTCTGCGATGTAAAACATATATTAAGATATTTTTATAAGCGAGATAATGTCCTGCATTACGGTCCAAGAGAATGAATAATAATTAGAATATACTTACTTATAATAACCAAACTGTTTTTTTCATTACATTTACGCGATTTAAGCCTTCAATGGCTCGGCTCGATCGTTGAAGCTTTTCTCAGTGGTTGGTCATTGGATGGGTGACCAAAAATTTACTATCACGAGCATCTTCCGTACTTCGGAAGGCATCTTAAGCCGTTGATCCCGGCTGCATCTGAAGTCGCTAGCGCCCACAAATCCGTATTAAGCCCGCGAGGTGGGTCATGGCCCAATCTCCCTATTTCCTCCTTAAGGAAGGCCTGTGCAAAGTTACCAAATGTTTTTTTTGTTTAATTATGAACTCTCATATTTATTTGCATTATATCTTGTGAAAAAATACTAATCCCTACGAAACATGAAAGTGACAATTTCTGCCTCTGCAGGTCACCTCCGCTCCTCGCATCCCCGCAGTCGCTCTAGCGTGGCCAACGCGTTGAGGTGAGGTTCCACGAAAGCGGAGCTGTGAAGAATTGAGCATAGCGGAGCAGTGATACTAGGTAAGTGTTTCCATTGAAGCTGTGCGAATATGACCGTGCAGCGCCGAGCGGAGCTATATGAAGTAGGTAGGAGCAGAGTGGAGCAAATTGAAGTAGAGATGGGCGTTTATAGATATTTTTGAAATCGATGCGCATCGGTATCTGATAATTGGCATCGGATGCCCGCATCGACGTCAACTGAATGTCGATATCTTGTATCACAGGATACGATGCAATGTGAATTTCTACAGATGCGTGTTTTGTGTGGGTGTGTCTCTTCTCTCTCTCATGAAAATGTAATCGAAAACCGTTTATTTACTTTACGGTATGTTATCTGAAAAGATTGAATGCTGGCAAAATTATTACATAAAAAACTTCACTCAGAGCGTAGGTTTTGAACGCAGGCAGGATGCCAGGTTTGGATGCGCGCATCCGATACGACTGGATGCCGATAATGGATGCCGATGCCATCTAGTTTTTGTCATCGTTACTATAGCAACAGTGCCACAAACTTTTCTGTGCCGGTGGCAAAAATTTGAACTACAATTCATCCATAGCATTTTGACATTTTTATGACATATTTGTTCACCGCTAGCGACATCTCCACCGGCACAGATAAGTTTGTGGCACTGTTGCTATAGTAACGATGACAAAAACTAGATGGCATCGGCATCCAATAACGGCATCCAGTCGTATCGGTTGCGCGCATCTGAACCTGGCACCGTTATCGCGCATCGTTAAACTAAAAACGCCCATCCCTAAATTGAAGATGAGCTGACTGGAGCTGTGAATGCAATTTATTTGCAGTCAGTTAAACACTTGAATAAGATAATGTAACAGCTTCCGCTCGGCGCAACTCCGTCCAGCGCCGCACCGCTCCGCCTTGCTCAGCATGACAAGACGACGCTCCGCTCTGGCCAACTGTAATTTTATTGTTATGTTTATTTATTTTTAAGCATTTAACTGCTAGAGGTTTAAATCTAAAGAAACGTTTACTAAAAAAAAAATTAAAAAATTCTTTAGATTTAAACATCTAGCAGTTAAATGCTTAAAAATAAATAAAAACATAACTATAATTGCTATTTCTTCTTTCAAATGTTTAATACTTGAAAAAGTATTCATTTGACATTGTGGTTTACCTACAATGCGAAGAGATGGCGCTGCCTTGCAGCTTAAGGCTAGGAAAATTTCGACGCGGCGAATAGGGCCGTGGTAGCATAATGGTCAGTACATTCGCCCGGATAGCGAAGGGTGCTGGTTCGAGTCCCGTCCGCTGCCTGGTCCGCGTGGATTTTTTTCTAGTAAACTTTTCTTTAGATGTAATTTTATTCTTCTCATCTGTTTCCACTAATACTGTTTCTTCTGAATCGGAGCGGAGAAGAAATGTGTATTTTGAGCAATGCGACTGGTAGATATATTTTTAAAGACTGCTTAGCTCCGCGCTGTTACGCGAATGTGGAATCGCAGGCTTATTTGCGCACGCGCCTTTTTCAAAGTATCAGTGTAATTTTGCTAATGATTTCAGTGTTGATTTTTTTGCTGTAACTCTGTGTACTCTTGCACACAAACATAGATTTAAAGAACATGGTAAAGTTTTGTATGAGCGACTACCCTGCCAATGTATAAATACTGTACTTAGTAATATTTAATGGTGAATGGCTGAATATTTATAATTTCTATGAAAAAAGGTCCAGGAACTTTTGATAAAGTCACAATCTTGAAAATTATGAGAACTCCTACTATGTCATTACCTTGCTACAGTTGATAAAAGGTGTTGAGTCATCAATTTCTCATTTTCTTAGAATCTTTCTTCCCATTTCTCTGATTAACTCTTCACAAAAAGTGTTATTAAAGCAAAAATAAATACAAATAGGTTATCGTTGGCCTGACAGGAAATCTGTGATGTTTCATTTTGTTCGTTTGCAAAAATTAAAGGATTAATTATCATACAGCCTTGTCTCAAGCCTGATCAGAATAATAAAATCTATTATTTTAGTCCTTCAGTGATTTGTTTTGATAAAAATTAGGGCCAAATATGTCATAGTTTGAAGGAGTTTAGAAATAATATTGTTTATTTCGATATTAAAACAAAACATTTTGCTTTTTAAACAGAAATGAAGTCAATTTTTATACTTTTAAAGATTTGATTATTTCACGAAAGTTGTAAGAGAATAATAAACACGTAATAATTAATAAAAAAATATTGTAAAGTTACTGGCTAGTGCGAAATATTTATACACGTTAAGGTAAGGGCAGTTTCTTAGCATATATGGCGTTCGGTATATGGCGTTTAATTTCAACTGTAGGTAACTTAGTCTATAACTGATATACCCAAGTTGCGCCAGTCAGGAGCCGCGGTACACCTAGCTACTGCGGACACACTACACTTTGGACATCGTTACATTTACGCGATTTAAGCCTTCAATGGCTCGGCTCGATCGTTGAAGATAAGCAACTTTCTCAGTGGTTGGTCATTGGATGGGTGACCAAAAATTTACTATCTCGAGCTCTTCCATACTTCGGAAGGCATCTTAAGCCGTTGATCCCGGCTGCATCTGCAGACACTAACATACCCACGAATCCGTATTAAGAGATTATTGAGGTGGGTGCATGGAATGAATATGGAAGGCCTGTGCAAAGTCACCAAATAGTTTGTAGTAATTATTTACAAGAAAAAAAAGAAGTCTCTTCTTTTATTTAGATTTAACAGTTTAAATATACAATAAAAAACATTTTCGCAATTACCTATAATATTGGGAGATACATTTTCTGTTACACAATGCATTAAAATAGATAATAAACATCTATCATTTAAATATGTCGCGAAAAATAAATTTTACGCAATATGGTGTGAGACATGCATATTAAAAAATCTCTAAACGAAAAAAACGTATTGTTATTTTTACAGCTTGGGCGCGTGCCAAACTAACCAAATGTAACTTTTTACTCTGACGTTTCTATTTTGACATAAACGTAAGAAACTTCTATCGATTTTGCCATTTTTTGCAGCTGGAGCGTAGGTTTGGAACGCAGTCTATGTCCGTAAATGTCATCTCAGACCCGGCCAATCCTAGTCGTTTTTGCTGACATGACGTGATGCTAACTTAAATTCGGCCAATCATAGTCGTTTTCGCTGACATGACGTGTTAATAACTTAAATTCGGCCTATTACACCGTTAATCGATTATGTGACATTAGATATTAACTACAAGATAAAAGTGATCGTATTATTTTCATTTAATTTCATTGTATTATAAATGAAGCCCTCTACTATATTAAGATTAAAGAAATACGTTAAAAATAAATAAAATAATTAAAGAAGCATAAACACCAGTAATCTTTTGAAGTCTGCCATATTGGATTTAAGGTACATACTTACTGACTGCTGCGGCGCAACGATCCAAAATCAAATCCTAAGATGACGTCATGCTCTGCGATCCCGACCTAGATCCCGCCAGCAGTCGGCACCCAAAGACTGCAAGTCCCTCTGCACCTCATCGCTCCAGCGGTATCTGGGACGTTCAACGAGCCATCGTCCTATCGGTCGCCCAAAATACGCTTTTTTCACGGCTCTATCCTCTCCCATTCTCTCTACGTGTCCGAGCCAATGAAGTCGAGCCACAGCGGTGACACTCTGTGTACGTGAGAGTTCCAGCGTCAGTGACCTTGAGCAGGAGCGTGTATGCGCTAGGGTTGAACTTGGAATTTAGACTTGTGCCAATGAATATTTATGCATAGTAAGTTATTAAATGTAAACTGATTCAAGGATACTGGGGTAAATAATGAAGGATAGGTTTGATTTTATAATCAATTTTTAATCTTTTAATGTAGGTACTATAACAAATTGCTAACTTTTATATGTTTTCTCCTTTTTCGATTCGTTTTATAATTCTTATTATTATCTAAATAATAATAAGATTGCGTAGCGTAGTCAGTCTGTGCGTGCAATGCAGTGCAACGCTATTATTTTACTATATCGCTACTGCCATCCCTTCGGTCGAGGCAGTCGGCGACTGCCGTCTCCACGCCCCGCGCGCCGCGGGCGATTTTACGAGCACACATGCTTAAGTGTCGCTTCTTTTCGCGTAGTGTATATATTCTGTGGTCGAGCTGCTTTAATTTCTCCTATGATGTTGGGCTCGGACACTAGATTTTCCATCTCGATGTTCGTCCGCACTCTCCAGCTGCCATGCTCTCTTTGAGTCGGCCCCAGGATCATCGGCAGAATCTTTCTTTCGGCGACTAACAACTTATTCTCCATAAATAAAACTAGTTTTTACGGGTACTAAATGTACTAAATTTATTTAATTATTGACAGAATAATGATTTTTATTTATTTACTTTTGTAATAAAAAAATCATTATTCTGACGATGAAGACCTGAAAAGGCTGCGAAACGTCAATAAAAAAAATCATTTAGTATATTAACCCGTAAAAACTAGTATTATTTAATGAGTGATGTGCGTGAAAACCTAAGAAACAAACTTTTTTCCTCTCTTAGGGTCAGCGTTCAAGCCTTACAACCGTACATCAAGATCGATCTAATCACTGTATTGTAGATCCGAATCTTGGTCTTTCTTAGTAATAGCTTGGAAACTAAGACCTTGTGAAGAGCAGCTGTGCACCTAAGTGCGCCTAGGATACGGGTGTCGATCGCCTCTTCTCTTCTGTTGGTGTCTGTTACCGTACAGCCCAGTTATTTAAATTTACTGACGCCCTTATAGGTAGTTCCTTTCACATTCGAATCTTTCTGTTTCTCTCTCGTTTTTTTGTATCTTTTCATATGAGAATACTCAGTCTTATCGTGGCTTATCCTCAGACCAACCTTTCCACCTTCCTCCTCCAGAGTCTCCGCCATCTTGCAGACTTCTTCTTTGCACTTTCCCAATAATGCTAGATCGTCCGCATACCCAACAATCTTGTGATTACCGTTTAACTCCACTCCGCCGCTGACCTCTAATACTTTTCGAATAACGTTTTCAAGTGCTAAGTTAAACAGTAACGGAGAAAGTGCATCTCCTT